GCCCGTTGAGGAAAACCCCTCCCCCCCCCCCCCCAACAAAAAGAACGTTTTCTTCTGGAGCATGCTTTCCATTTTGGTAAATGTGAGCTTCACAGTACAGTATAGTGAAGTGGAGCACTAATCGTAATCTCTATCTGGTTCTTCACTCTTTCATTTATGAATTCTGCATTTCTTGCATGCCCAGCCATACGATGGTGCTGGGGTGCAGAATGAATAAGAGCTAGTCCCTGTCCTCGAGGGGTTTACACTCTAGCAGGGGGAAGCTGAATATAAACAAATTACTGCAATATATTGAGGCAAATGCTTAAATAAAGATGTGAACGACGTGCTTCAGGAATACCAAGGGAAAAGCAAGTAAATGTGTGTGTGTGTATAAATTTCATTTATTTATTTATTTATTTTACACCAGGAATGATGTATATGTTAGCAGTTTTTACACGTGTAAAAAAGTAAAAAGGTTTTTTTTTGGAAAAAATTATTTTGGAGCCTACAATATTGAAGCTGAGTGCAGTGAGAGGTCCTTGAAATACACTGGGGAGTCCCAAGGACCTTGGTGAAGTCCTAGGGACCTTGCCAGCCAAAGAGGCAGCTCTGCTTGGCTCTAGCCACGAAAATGCTGCCAACGTTGCCCAAACTGGCTTCTCAGGGACACAGATTTCTATGTGCATACAAATGTGCAATTTCAGACTTTTACTTTATTTTTAATTAATTTGTTTCTTCCATGAATGAGAGAGACATAGAGAGTGAGACATACAGAGATACAGCATACCCAACAGGGTCTCCTCACAATCACGATTTATTCCCAACCTTAATCAGTCTGGGATCATGGGCATTTTGGGGCCCAGCATAGTCAGAGAGGTCTCTGGACATGAACCTGGGACCTGACCTGCCAGGAGGGGTCAGCTTCACAGAGCTTCATATTTTCCTCCTGAGCCACTAATCAGCCCCAGAGTTAAGACATTTCTGTTAGCAGTTTTTGTTTGTTTGTTTTTTGCCATAGGGCGTGTGTGCTCACCAGAGAGATACAGAGAGAGGGAAAGTTTGAAATCACCCCCAGGGAATGGCCATGTCACAATCCCTTCTCCTTCGTTCTTCTCTCAGGATTTAGGGCACACACACACACCCCTGTGATTTTTTTCTTTCTTTCTTTTTTTTTTTTTTTTTGAGAGGTTTTCACTATAGGGTGCGTGCGCTCGCCAGACAGACAGAGAGAGACATAGAGACAGAAAGCGAGAAATCACCCCCCGGGGGGGCAGGGTCACGCCACAATCCCTTCTCCTCTGTTCTCCTCTCAGGATCTTGGGCATGCACACACACGCGCCCGGCGTGAGTTTTAAGCCACCGGGTCTGGGACGCGAACTGCGGTCGACTATGTGGGAGTCCAGCGACATAGCCATTATGCTAACTGCTGGTCCCCACCCGTGTGATTTTCAAGCCACGGGGTTTGGGACTCAAACCATGGTTGGTCATGTGGGTGTCTAGTGCCTTAACTACCATGCCACCTGCTGGTCCCCTATATGTTAGCAGTTTTTACACGTTTAACAATTGTTTTCTTTAAAACACCATAATAGCTAAATAAAACAGGTTTGGGGTAACTCTAGACTACCTTTTGATTTAGATACAAATGAAACTATTGTAATATGTTCTGCTGCAATTTCTTGAGTAATTTTGCATTCTGACTTTGTAGAGAGAATTTGTTTTCTAAGAGAATACCAAGACTTAGAGATGTCGACTTAGGAGGGGACGTTCAGAGACTCTGAGATAATGAGGGCGATCACCTTTCTTGACACCACCAGAGAAACTTATTGTTTAGACCTAAAGATCAAGAACTGCTCCTGTTGAAAATACATTGTCAGGTAATTTGTTGTTAATGCTAAATGAATATCTTTTACTATCATCCTTGGTTACTTTCTCAGGTGAGACGGGAGAAAAGATGGAAACAGAGATGAGGAGTGAGAAAGTAAGTGAGGGAGCTGAAACAAAAGAAGAAGAAACAGGAGAAGCTGTGGATCTTTCAGCAGCCACATAGACACGTCTGGCCAGACAACAGCAAATGGACACAGAATATTATAATTAAGACAAAAACGGAAGCGAAACTCGTGTGTATGGATTTCATCTTTCTAGATCTATGTGTTTTATACAAGGACTGTCATTATAGGTAGACTGTAGGAACCATGAAAACGTTATCATTTCTTGAAAAACTGCTGAGCTCTAAGGTTTTCTTAGCGTCTTGGAAGAGTTCTATTATAAAACGATAGTAGCCAGAGCCAATGAAAACTAGGGGATGTGATCGTTTGAGTGTGAAGGTGGTACATTGTACATTCAGTAGAAAAAATGAGACCCTAAAAAGGTGTAAACCTTTAGGTAAAGATACCTGCAGAAAGGAGTTAGTAAATTTTAGGGAACTCATAATAAAATCACATCGCTGTCATTGCAATGGAATGAGAATGAACAACAACGAAACAATGAATGATACCTAGTTTCTATCCTCCCACAGAAGTTAGAGCTGATAGGAACCTTAGAAACCCATCTCAGGACTGGCCCTAAAGGAACTGGATCCAGTATGGTTGGATGGGGTTTGAGCCCCAACTAGCTGGCTTGAAACACTCACCACGTGTACATGTGCATGTGAGTGTGCTCACAAGTCTAACAGGATGGAGAAATGGAGTAGGGATGGTGGGGTGATCATGCCCCATTGTGGGGGTGCTTTCCTCCTCATTCTCTCTGGCTCTGGTGAGTGTCCTCTGGCAATTAAAGAAAGTATATCATCTAATTACTTTCTTGTGTTAAGCCTACCTAAATATGACCACAGACTTTTATATATCATATTATTTTAATATGTTCAAATGCTGTGCAGAAAAAAAAACTCTGAGATAGATAGCTTGAAAAACTTTTTCAAGCTCTTGTGCTGTTGTAAGATTAGGCAATTTTCACAACACAAGGCTATAGGTTTTCTATGTGCCATTTTGAATCAGCTGTTTTATATTTATGTGGGATTTTTCAGTTGGTGTTATATTTTTTAATTTCTTTTTAGGTTTTTGCTGTAGGGTACGTGTGCTTACTGGAGAGGAGAGAGACAGAGAGAGGGAAAGTGAGAAATCAGCCCCCAGGGGCATGACTATACTGCAGTTCATACTCCATTCACCTCTTGGGATTTGGACCACACATGCACACGCATCCAGTGTGATTTTTCAAGCGTTAGGCCATGTGGGCCTTAACTACCACACCCTGCTGGGTCCTGGTGTTATCTTTTTGAATACGATTATAAATTAATCTTTTTTAAAGACAGAGTCTTGACAGATGATCCTCCTACCTTCCCCTCCCAAATTGCTGGGATTACAGGCACACACCACCACACCCACCTTCAGGTTGGACTGGGAATTGAAGTCAGGCTTCCCATGTGGTCCTAGCCTGCAGAGCGCAGCATCTCAGCCGTGTGTGCCACCATGACTGGGCTTCAGTGGACTTTAAATGTATTTCAGAGGCAACAAACTGCAAAGATTAAAACCTAGATTTGCTGCCTACCCGGTGTCTGTTCTTTTTAAGATGACAGCACTTTAATGTTGGGCTTTTGAGGTAGAAAGAAACTAAGAAATCAAGATTTCAAAAGCATTTATTTTATTAGTTAGAATGATACACCACAGAAAGTTACCTTCCAAGAATTCTTCCAAAGTTGGCAAGGGATTTTGTAAATGAGTGTGTGTGTGTGATATTAATAATAATGAAAGCTAACTTGCCTACCACTGAGTGCCTTGTGGTTATGAATATCAGGATACAATTCTGCAAAACATTTAGTTTCTTTATCTTATCAATAAGTATATATATATATTTAAGGTAATTGCTCAAATGAATTAACTAGACTCTTACTTTAGTTTCTACATTAAAATGATTACTAAGATGACCTGGAATCACTTATAAGGACATAGGATACAAAGGAAAATAGATTGGGTCCGGTAGGTGGTATGGTTGTTTAAGGTGCTGGACTGCCAAGTGGCTGAGTACGGTTTGAGTCCCGGACCTGGTGGCTTGCTTTCTCATTTTCTCTCTCTGGTCAAATTAAAAAATAATAATAAATAAAATCGAATAAATAATTATTTAAAAAATGAAAATAAAAGTAGATCATCTTTATTCTAATTTTAATATTAATTTATGCTTGTGACTTTAAAGTGTTGGAGTAGACAGCAAGAGGAGTAGCTTAAATAAATGACATCGTCCTTTCTGCAAAGTAAACGAACTGGATTGTGATTTCCTTGAGTCGGCAGTGTCTTATGTATATCTTTGAATTCAGGCACTTAGCTCTTTTAATAAAACATAATATAGGTACTCAATAAATATTTGCTGAATCAGTAAATGAATAATTTATACTAAGGGCTCCCATTTACATTTAATTCATTCACAGATAATACATTCTTTTTAGAGATTTTTGCTATAGGGTGTGTGCGCTCACCAGAAAGACAGACAGATGGAAAGCGAGAAATCACCCCCCAGGGGGGATGGCCACGCCACAATCCCTTCTCCTCCATTCTCCTCTTGGGATCTTGGGCACGCATGCACACGTGCCCGGCGTGAGTTTTAAGCCACCGGGTCCAGGACGCGAACCGCGGTTGACTACATGGGAGTCCAGCGACATAGCCATTACACTAACTGCTGGTTCCCAATCCCATTATTTTTAAAGGATTATTTTATTTATTTAACTTTTATTTGTTATTATTTTTAAATATACCAGAGAGAGACAGAGAGAGAAAGAGAAAGTGAGAAAGAAAGCTGCTAGGTCTGGAACTTGAACTGCAGTCAGCCATGTGGGAGTACGACACCTTAACCACTCTGCCACCTGCCGGCCCCATAACCCATTATTTTTCATTAGTGATCATTCACAGAAATTTTTGGAGATTTGTATAAATTTCTAGTACTTTCTATGCTCTGTTTTTAGCCTTTATGTGGCTATTAAGACATTTTTAGTAACTTTTTAGTATTATTTTTAATAAAGTAAAAATAAAAAAATTAAGAATCTACAAAGATGGGACCAGCAGGTGGCATGGTGGCTAAGGGCGCTGGACTCCCACATGGCCGACTGCAGTTTGAGTCCTGGATCCGGTGGCTTGCTTTCTCACTTTCTCTCTCTCTCTCTCACTCTGTCCTTCTCTGGTCAAATTAAAATAAATAAATAAATAAAATAAAGTTCAATAAAATAATTCTTTAAAAAAGAAAAAGAACTACAAAGAGGTGCCAGATAATGGGAAAGCATCGGGGCCCACAAGGAAAGGACCCCAGTTGGTGTCTTAGGGCTTCCTTGTATATATGGGGTGTGTATGCACATACCTGTGATCCAGGCCGGCTGAGGCTGGGGTGGATCATGGTGTGAAGGCCCTACTGGAGGTGCCTCTCTCTCTTTCTTCCCCTCTTTCTCATGGAAGAAATAAATATATAAACGTAAAAATCTAGGAACCAGCAGATGGTATAATGGCTATGTCGCTGGACTCCCACATAGTCAACTGCGATTTGAGTCTAGGATCCAGCGACCTAAAACCCATGCTGGATGCTTGTGTATGTGTGCCCCAAATCCCAAGAGGAGTATGGAAGAGAAGGGATTGCGCATAGCCATCCCCCTGGGGGGTAATTTCTTGCTTTCTGTCTCCCTGTCTCCATCTATCTCTCCAGCAAGCACACTTGCCCTATAACAAAAATTTCTTTTAAACAAACAAACAAAAAAACTACAAAAACAATTTAAATAGGATCAGCCGGTGGCGTGGTGATTAAGGCTGCTGGATTCTACATGGTAGATACATGGTTTGAGTCCTAGACCCAGTGGCTTGAAAGTTGTACTGGGCACATGTGCGTGCCTGCCCAAAATCCCAAGAGGAGAATGGAGAAGGAAGAGCAGTGTAGCCATCCCCAGTGGGGCGATTTCTCATTTTTCCTCTCTCTCTCTTTCTGGTGAGCGCATGTATCCTATTACAAAAATCTAAACAAACAAACAAACAAACCAAAAAACAAAAAAAGAAAGAGAAAAGAAAATGATTAAAGTTTCTTGTTTATACTTCCAGAAAGAAAAATATACCTATATGACTGGCTAAATATACAAAGGGGCTCCCAAAAGTTCATGGAAAAATGGAATAAAACCACAAGTTTATTTTGGTGCAAAAACTTTTAAAATCATGTTTTTTGTGTTTGTTTGTTTGTTTTGTTTTTCTTTAATAGAGATTTTTCCTATAGGGTGCATGTGCTTGCCAGAAAGACAGAGAGACTAAAAGCAAGAAATCATCCCGCAGGGGGATGCCATGCCACAGTCTCCTGTCTCCTCTTGTGATTTTGGGCACACACGTACACATACCCAGTGTGAGTTATAAGCCACCAGGTTCAGGACTCGAATCGTGGTCAATTACATGGGAGTCCAGGGGCGTAACCATTATACCATCTGCTGGTCTCCAAATCCATGTTTTTTCATACTGTACATTTTCTAGAAACTTTTTGAAATAAAGTATGTGTATGTTTACACATCCTCATTTTAAAACACAAAATGGAAAACTATTTACATAGCCCTGTATTGTGAAAAGTGTATATAGAACCATTAATTGACCTTTCCTTTGTTAGACTTTTTTTTCCTAGTTTTGCTATGGGGTGCATGTGCTTGCCACAGAGAGACAAAAAGGGAAAGTGAGGAAGGAATCACCCCTCGGGGTGATGGCGACACTGCAATCCCTTCTCCTCCATTCTCCTCTTGGGATTTTAGACACACATGTATACGCGCCAGTGTGTTTTTCAAGCCTCTGTGTCCAGGACCCAAACCACACAATTGGCCATGTGTGATCTACTGCCCTAAACACCACACCCCCTGCTAGCCCAGAATATTTTCCTTTTGCCAGAGGCTGACAATCTTTGCAAAGTGCATTCTAATTCTAAGTCCCCAGACCCTGAGAAAAGATGATCAGTTTTGTCCTGGATTCAAAATACACAAGGACAAATAGCTGATTTCAACTAGTACTTATTTAGTAGATCCGTATCGATCAGCTTCAGGTTTTCTAGATATCAGAGTTACTAAAAATCGTTTTTTGGGAATAAAAATATCAGTATTTCTAAGTATTTAAATGAATAAGGAATTAATTGTATGAAAAGATTCCTTTGTTATTAAAAGAATTACTTTTTTCTTAGTATAAAATGAACATGTTTCTTTGTAGAGACTTCAGAAAGTGTAACTTTAAAAGATGAAATCTAAGTATTACCCGTAACTCAATCAATCAAAACTATCGCTGTTAGCATGAAGTAAATGAAGATTATTTGTTTTAGTTGCAAAATTTGTTGCAATAACAAGTTAGCCAAAGCACAGCCATTAATAGAACGTTAACTACTGTATGAGCGGTGCCCTTCCGTATTTTTCTCACTGGAATCCATTGGAGAATAATAGATTAAGAGACTGTTCCAATAATATTTGCTATATTAGTAAATATTGACTTGTGCTACAGAGAAAACACCTGTGCCTAAGTAGATAAGCACTTAGCTGACTGCAGCTTATGACTTATAATAGATGAAGAACTCACTGAGATAAAATATGCTATTTGGAATTATTTTTCTTTTTTTGGAGAGGTTTTTGCTATAGGGCGCGTGTGCTCGCCAGACAGACAGAGAGAGACAGAGAGACAGAAAGTGAGAAATCACCCCCCAGGGGGGATGGCCACACCGCAATCCCTTC